ACTGTATTATGATTTTAAGATCAGTGAAAAACAGAAATTTCAATGATTCAGTTACTTTAGCCTTCCAATATTTACTTTCATTATTATCATTATCATTATTATCAATATTACTCTCATCAATATTATTTCTATTATCATTATATTATTAACCCATTGCCGCCGGGGAAAATGAACAAAAAATGGGGAAATTGCTGTGCCTATTTTCTATACTTTTTTGTTAAATGTCAGCCCATAGATGGCTCTGTTAGCGCCGATTTGAAATGGCGGGAAAAAACGTATTTTTCACTAGTGCCGTGAATATCGATGGTGTTATTTTTATCATAAACATTGTAATTTTTATAATGTTTTTTAACATTAGTAACAGCAAAATAAGATAACGTAAAATATTTCGTAAATCAAAGAAAAGGGTGAACGGGTGAGACAGGCGGTACTCGTAACTGGCTCATTGGTGATTTAGTACAAGTGTAGCCATCTATGTGTGAAAACAATCCAACAAGTAATCTCACAGTGGCCATGGCATGGCATGCCCGGCGGGAATGGGTTAACTTAATCTATTCCGTGAGCAGACACTTTCTAACTCCATCCTAGTACTGGAAATTTTAAATCTACTTCTTGCTCATTTTTCCTCAGTCCTCAAGAGCATTCACAGAATTGAAACAATACCTTCAGTTTACACTCTTCAAATATTCTACTGCCCCTGCATCTATTCTCCTATTTATATAATAATATAAAAATAATGGCACTACTTTCTTTCCTTTGAACATTCTTTCCTGTATTTTAAATCATACTTCAAAATATGATCACTAATGGTCTACTGTTTTTCGTGTTTCAAATGTACATTTAGATTAAATGATGCCAAATAATAAAGATCATCTTCCTGCATTTAGAGGTATATACTCACCTGAACTCGCAAAATTGTGTGTCTCTATAAACTATTTTACCAGTGCCCATCCTTTTTTCAAGAGATTTTTCACAGTATCAAGAAAAGGCAAACAGCATTACATATATTGATTTACACTCCTTTCTTTTGAATTTCAGGTATATGTCTCTTTCTAATACTAAGACAATATTAAGTAGAAATATTACTCACTCTATAAAGAAAATGAACCCAAGTCATCAGCTACATACATACTAAAAACCAGATAACAAATAATGCATTAAACAATTAGAATATATATTACCTTGGCCTTTCATCAACTGAACTTAGGTACTTGTTGAGAGTTCGGTCCAGTGTGTCCGAGTGAGTATAATGGTAACTGTCAATATTGCTTGGAGCTTTTGGAAGGTGCATAGACGAGGGTGGTGTTAGCTGCCCCAAAAATGTTGATGAGGCAAAGGGCGTCTGGCAGGATATAAGAGAAGAACAGTTGAAGAGATCTGGCATTAGTAAAATGTGTTGAGACCTACAATGGTTCTCTGAGTTATAAAAATAATACAGTAATTAGAGTAGTATAAACAATGACACAATTTCATTTACTAGAGCAACTAAAAATATCTGCTAGATGAAACTATACTTGTAATAATTCCAAAAATACAGAATGCTTGAAATTATGGAAAAAGAGTTTTGCATTCATACCTTCTACATCTCAAACCATGCTAACTTACCTGCAGGTGAGCATTGATCTCACGGAGGTTGATGGAAACGGATTCTTCTTTGGGTTTGTTTGTCTGTGAGTTTTTGTGGATGTGGTTATGTTTGGTCTGCACTTCATGTTGGTAGAGATCCATGAGTCTGTTGTGCCGTGTTTTCCACGTATCTTCCTCCTCGCTATATACACTTAGTTTTGCCCGCAGGCGTATTATTTCCTCGGATAACCTCGAGATTTCGTTCCTTAGTCCCTGCTCTTGACTCTCTTTGACTTTGGCTTGAGACTGCTGTTGCTGACTCTGCTGGTCAATGAGCTGGTTTAATTCAGCAAGTTTGTTGCTCAACTCAAGCTGACATTTGCTCTCAATCTCAGCCTGAAGGTGGAGCAGTGTTGCTTTTGGCACATATTCTCTGGGGATTTTCCTCTGCAACTCCATCAACTGCTCTTCTGCTCTCTTCTGCATCTGCTCAGCTAGCTCCTTCTCCTGCCTGATCAGTTCAAAGGACAGCTTCTCTCCTTTCAGCATCATGACTTCTTGTTTCAGCTGCAGCTTCTCTTGGTTTATGCTCTCTATCTTCTTCCGGAGTGTTTCTATGGTGTCATTGCTATTTCTGATCTCAGCCTCGAGCTCTTTCTTTTGGTCTGTCAGATCCTGCAGAGATTCTTGATTTTGTGTGGCTTCGTTGATACCTTGCTGGAGCTGTGTGAGACTGTCCTTGGTCTTCCTCAGCTGCTTCTCAAGGTCCCCTTTGGAATTTCTTTCCAATCCCAGCTCTGCCTCAGTTTCTCTCAGCCGCAGTTCCAAACGCTGGGCTCTGTTGCATTCTTCCTTATACCGCTTCTCTGCCTCCAACTTTTCCTCTTCCAGTTTCTTTATTTCTTTCTTCATGTCTGCAAGACTATCATCATCATTGTCTCTGCCTGTCGGAGGAGTGCGGAGCATGGGAGGCTGCTGTCGCGGCATTTGTATGAGCTGGATCAACTCTTGGACTTTGGCCTCAGAAATATCCTTAGCTTCCTTCAGGCCGTGCAGCTCCCCCTCGTACCACTGCCTCTGATGTTGCTCTGCCTGCAACAGTGCTGAGAGCTTGCCATTCTCTGAGCTGAGGCGGAAATTCTCCTGACGGATCCTGGAGGAATCATCACTCTGGCTGGCTGTCTTGAGGGCTACTTCGTGAATTCTCTCATCCTTTTCTCTGAGTGTGTTCTGCGCCTCCTTCAGCTCCCTTGTGAGAGACTCTATTGTCTGCTGGTGGTGGAGCTCTGCTTGCTGTAAACGTTCCAGATTTGCACTCTGCAAAATCAAAATGAAGTTTTTAATATATAGCTGCCTACAGACAACAGGGAAAAATATTAAAGTGCAAAACTTAAAAATTAATTTGGTAAATTATCATCAATGCAAAAAGTGTTTACTAGCTAGCTACTTTAAGCTCACATGAATCTAACCTACCATTTTCATTCAGTCCATAATCTGAAAAGAAAAATTAGCACTCACCTGAAAGCGAACCTTCTCTTGAAGTTTTTCTTGACTGCTAGAGAGTCTATCCAGTTCCAGGTCTTTATTGTGTAAGGAATCCTTTAACAGCTGCACTTCAGGCCCATCCTTTATCATGGGTTTCTGATGTATAAAGCTATGGACATCTTTCTGCAAAGATTCTAACAGCTGTATCATGCTTTGGTTCTGGAACTTCAGACTTGACACTGCTTGCTCATTACTGGCTTTCAGGGAAGATATGAGAGACTCATCAATGATTCCACTGGCAGATGGCAGACTCTGGGATGCTTCGAGGGATGATTGCATGCGCATGAGTCCTGTCTGCATCCCTGCGACCTGGGTGGCCATCTCTGTTATCTGCTTGGATAGCCAGGACAGTTTCTGGTCCTCGGCCAGATTAGCATGCTGAGACACTTCATTAATTCTCTGCACCAGAGTCTGCTGGAGTCGACGTAGGTTATCTTGCAGGATGAGGAAATTTTCTTCCAGCGCTTCGCTCAGGTTGGTGTTTGCTTCAGATGACCGGGCTTTAAGGAGGGACATGACCTGCTTGTTGCTCTCCCTGATGCTCTTCAAGTCTGCCTCCACCTCTGTCAAATCCAGTCTTGACCCTGAATCAACAGACTGCAGGCCGTGCTGGAGAGCAGAGATCTTTCTTTGCAATTCTTCTGACATTCTGTGAACCTCATGCTCTACACCTGACAAATCCTGATTGCTCAGACTTTTCTCGAATGATGACACAAGGGACCTCTCCATCTTCCCCAGCTTATCTGTGATATCCCTGCTGAGGCATTCTGTTATGCCACTATCTTCAGGCTGGTTAGCTGCAATGGCCCTCTTCATTTCAGCAAACTTTGGCATTAAATCATCCTTCAGAGTCTCAATGGCATGCATATTATAGTCTTTGCTTGTTTTGATGGAGTCTGACAAGCTCTTCAGACTGTAGTCATTACTCTCCTTAAGATTTCGGAAAGACGAATCCAGCTTCTCCAAAACATCTTGTTCACTGGACCCCCTCTGCCTCTGTATCTTATTCAGGTCATTCCTCACCTCTTCAAACCTTGTGACAAGAGAAGAGTTTACCTTCTCAAGAACCTCTTGAATCTCTCCTGAATTATTTCTCTCCCTGCTTTGGAGAAGTTGCGCAGTTGTCTCTAGCTGCAATCGCAAGGATTCCTCTATGCGGTCCATAGCGCTGCTAAATTTCTGTTGAGTATCTTCACACTGCATTGAAGATGCTTGCTGGAGAGATGTCTCAAGGCTGCTTCCAATATTTTGTATCTCCCTAATAAGACACTGACTAATATTCTCTAGGGTAGAGGTCTGGTTGACATCAAATGTGTCTGTTATTAGAGTTTTAACATCGTTTGAAAAGTTTAGGAGTACCGGTTCAAGCGCTGATGTTATGTCATGAACGCTAATATTAGGGCTCATCTCCTGCCGCCCATCTGGTGACTTCCTGGGAGATGCATCTTCCTGGAAATCTGTCTGAACTGCTGCTTGCCTTCCAAGTGCTGATGTCTGGCATGGAATATCTTTAACTACCTTCTTTGGCTGAATATGGCTATTTGAACTTGTCAAGTCAGTCTGCACAGTATGACTTTGGACAAGGATCTGAGTCTGGCATGACTTCACGACAGTTTCTGATGTGCACTGGATACCTGTGCTGATGCCCTCTGGTTCTTTACACTCTTCACTCTGTGTTTCTGCATCTTGAACATTGCATACTTCTTTCTTCACACTTTCTTCTGTTTGCGTTGACAATGATGATGTTTCTATCTGCCTGGCTTGTTGAAGAGGCACACTTTCAATGCTTTTTGTCATTAAGTCTTCCTGAGTCACAGCTTCTGTCTGAATCCCTGCATCCACTGCATCTGGTGTAGAACAGACAGTCTGCAATGCCACATCTGCTTTTTTGCTTTCTTCTGGCTGGATGTCATTAGTTGCTGTTGACTGTGATGCAAAATAACTTTCCTCTGTCTGACAGCTCTTCATGGAAACAAATCTGTAAATGAATGTGGAAGAGCAAAATTAGACACTGATCATGTCTTTTCAATATTCTTTGCAGCTATTCTCATTATTATCATTATCGTCATTATCATTATTAGTAATAGTTTTATAACAAGTCTATCATTATTAACATTTTTATTGCTGTTATCAGTGTCACCCTTATCATTATTTATCATAAAAACAAAACAAAAATCTCTTACTTTGTCTGGGATGAAAGTTCCTCCACCTTGCTCTGAAGGATCTGATTCACACGTTCTTTTGTCTCCAACTGCCCCATCAATGAATCAACAAGTTCCTCTTGTTGCTGGGCATGAGCTCTCAAATGCACACACTGGTCTTGCAATTGTACACACTGTTGCTGAGCTTCTTCAAGCGACTGGTCTTTAAGTCGAGATGAATCTTGCTCACATTTACCTCTATATTCAAGCTGTTTGATCCTTGCCATGAGACTGGAGATCTGTTAAATTGAAAAATGAGTTATATTCTAAGAAAGAAGTATATAAATATTCCAACAAAATTCAATATTTCAGTCTTAAAGCAATGAGACTAAATTTACCTTTTTAATAATGAGCATTCACATTTAGCTACTCACCTCTTGCTGCTGGTGCTGCATCTGTTCTTCCTGTTCATCAATGTGCTTCTTAAATTGCTTCTCTGTCTGCTGCATGTGGGATATCTTCGTTTCCTGGGCGGCACGTCGACCAAACTCTTTCTCTAATTTCAATCTCAACTCTCTCACCAAATCCTGCAGTTGATTGACGTTATTTGCTTCTGGTAAAGATGACAAGGGAGTCAAAATAGAGTCCTTCAGCCCCGAGTTGATATGCGTGCTCTCTTCAGTTTCTGTGGATGCCACTGACATCATGTCATCCGCATCATCTGCACAGCGAGGGGTCGTCAGGGGGTCAGGCACAATTGATTCATCATCACTGAACAGAATGCTGCCAAGACCGCTTGAACGTCTTGTGCCACTCCTGGAACCCTTCCTGCTCTGAGGTGTGCTGAGAATGCTGCCAAGACCGCTTGAACGTCTTGTGCCGCTCCTGGAACCCTTCCTGCTCTGAGGTGTGCTGGTGACTGGGGTCTCTCTCCTTGGAGTAGAAATGGGAGCTTCTGGTTTCTTGGACGGAGAGACATTGTCATTAGCTTGAATGGCTGATATTGGTGACACTTGCTCCTCCTTAGACATCTGTCTGGGAGTTCTAACAGTGGCTCTACTTCTTGGAGACGATACAGAGTCTTCTAGAGACACAGAAAACTTTTCTTTGAGAGACTGGACATTACCTTTACCCTCTGAAGCTCTGACCTCTGAGGAAGTTGGCATCCTTCCCATCTTCAAGGGCGAAGCTCCTGATGGATCCTGCGTGTGGCCGGCCTCATGCCTACCTGGCAACCATGATTCAATTCCCCCCGAGATAAGGTCATCATCACTGACATCTCGACTTGTATTCTCAGGTTCCGGTTGATTGCTGGTCTTCATCGTCTCTCTTCTTCCTTGGTCTTCTAATTGCTGTTGTACAATCTCTCCTTCCTTTGGGACTCCATCAGTTTCATCTTTATGCACATCTGGTTTTGCTTTTGTCTTGACATTTTCGTCAGACTTTTCATGCTCAGGTGAATCTTCTGAACCAAGGTTGCTTGTGCTGGAGTGGTATTTCTTGGGGCTGATGCTAGCATTTGCCTCCCAAACCTCCTCCAATTCTTGCATGGTTCCCTCCCGCCCTAGAGTTCCCACCACTGTTGAGGGGGAGTTTGTGCGTGAACTGGCGATTCCTCCGGCACCGAGAGAGATTTTGCTCCCACCGCTTGTGCTGCTGTCTGAGAGCTTTCCTTGGGGAGCGACCTCAACCCTTTTCCTTTCCAGAGCATCTAATACCTCTTTCCCATCAATTGCAGCTGCCTTTGCATTTTCTGCACATTCTGTAAGTGAGGAACTGCCTACATTGTTGTCTTCCTCATCCTTATTGTCTTGGCTCCTGGGTGAACTCTCATATGAGGAAGGGCTAAACTTCTTCTTCGTTGGAGTTAGGCTCTTTCTCCTTGGAGGCCGACGTGGCGATGCTACTTCTTCATCCGTGTCGCTGTCGAAGATGCTGGAGCTCTTGCGTATCATTTTAGCTTTCAACGGGGACCTCTTTGTGGGTGATTTCTTTGGAGAAGTCTTCTGAGGTGAGACATTCCCGCCCTCCTCTTTGGCCTTTGTGGGAGAGCGACTGCTCAGAGGCAATTTTTGATTACCAGAATTTGAGAAGTCATTAGAAGATGCCTCATCCTCAGATACTTTGGGAAACTGTCCTCTTGGTGATACGGAAGCCGGAGACCCACCAAAGGACCCACCACCTCCCGCATTGCTACCAACGGCCTGTGAATTTCTCCGGCTGACTGTGACTTTTGTCGGGGTGCCTT